AAAGTAAACAATGTTGTTTGACTACTTATTTTTTATTATATATATATATATATATATATATAGAGAGAGAGAGAGAGAGATTTACACAATTATTTATTTAAGTTTTGTATAGGTGTTATAGTTACCAGCCTAGAAGTTGCTCATGCCAAGTTACTGGCCAGGTATCTTGGTCTTGAGGATGGAGCCGAGTTTGTGTCAGGTGCACCTGATGCTTCTGGAGGCTGGCAGCAGAACCAGAGACTTAAAGTTCCTAGTTTTTAGAGTTTATTTTTATAGGAATTAGTTTTTATGTTAGTTTATGGGAGCTGTTTTATTCTGCTGTTGCTGACTTAATTAGCAGATGGCACATTTTTGTTTAAAGTGGCACATTTTTGGTGGCTTCACACTGTTTAAAGTTTGTTTTTTATTTTTTTAGGTGATGGGGTGGATTTCAGTTTACCCTTTGGGGGTTTTTGGTTATTTACTTGACACATTTTTTGGCCGATGGATACTTCTTTTCTAGGCTGGCACCTTCCTAACCATTTATGTATATTAAGCATTTAACAACATACATTTTATATTTTAACCATATTTTAATTTACTGTTTTTACCACTTTTGTGGTGTGTGCTAATTTATTTAAAACTTCCGGCCCTTTAATTACAAAGAGTGGGGGTCTGTTTTAGCAGCTGTTAAATAAAATAAGTTACTTAACAGCTTATAGTGTTTGTTTACATTGTATTAATTACTTTAAAAACAAAGTCAGTTAACTTGTTTGTAAGTTTTACATAGTAGTAAAGTATTTTTTACAAAATAAATATAATTAATGGTTTTTACAAACAGTAGCTTACAAGTTTTAACAAAAAACTCCAAAAATTTTTGTACTTGGTAAAACTTTAAAATTTAAAGTGTGAAAAACAAATTATAAGGGGGTTACTGTCACTTAGAAAAATCACTGTTAGTACCTTCTTTTATATCCCTACAAGGCAGTTGACTGGAACTTGGGAGTTACAAGTTCACTAACTAGCTCTTCCACTGACATCTTTTCACTTTGGGCAGGTTGCTTAATAGTTCATGTCTCATTTCCTGTCTGTAATACCGAGATAAGAAAGGAGGGGTTGTCTATTTAGTTTATAAAGTTTGAGGCAGGTATTTGTACAGTGAATAGCACCAGAGGGCTTCAGTCTCTGTTGGGGTCTCTAGTCACTGCTTTATCGGAATAGAAGAAAAAGTTAAATAGGTTATTTAGGAGAATTAGTATCAGTTAGAATTGTAGGACTGGAAGGGACCTTGAGAAGTCTTCTAGTCCAGTCCCCTGAACCAAAGGGAGGATTAAGTATTATCTAGACCAGGGGTTGGCAACCTACGGCATGCGAGCTGATTTTGAATGGCACGTGGCTGCCTGCCGTGGTTCTGACCCCCAGCCGCACTCAGCGCCCCCCCGCTCTCCCCTTCTGGGGCAGGAGTAGGGTGACCAGATAGCAAGTGTGAAAAATCGGGACAGAGGGTGGGGGTAATAGGAACCTATATAGAAAAAGATCCAAAAATCGGGACGGTCCCTATTAAATCAGGACATCTGGTCACCCTAGGCAGGAGGCAGAAGCTTCATCCTGCAGCAGCCAAGCTCCCCCGCTTCTTCCCCCAGCCGTGGTGCAGCCTGCTTTCCTGCCCCTCCTCCTCTCCTTCCCTGCGCCGGCCCTTGCAAAGGGAGGGGGGGGAGGAGGGGCAGCGTGGCTGCTCCGCAAAAGCCCGGCGGCCCTGCTCTCCCGGCCGGAGCTCCAGCTGGCACGCAGCAGCTCCACGGCCTGTTGCTAAAGCTGGCCCTGGGTAAAGGAGGCAGAGAAGAGATAGGGACGGGGCCTTGGTGCAGGGGGTGGAACAGGACATATCCCTTCCAGCCCCCTGCCATGAGCCGCTGAGGGGAGGGGGCTGGGAGCACCCCCACGAGCCGAGCACCCCAGCCCTCTGCCCTGACCCACCCCACCCCCAGCCCTCTGAAGCCCCCAGCCTTCTGCCCTGTACCCCCCCAGCCCTCTGCCCTGACCTCTAAAGCCCCCCACACCCCCAGCCCTCTGCCCTGTACCCCCCCAGCCCTCTGCCCTGACCTCTAAAGCCCCCCACACCCCCAGCCTTCTGCCCTGCACCTCCACACACACCCAGCCCTCTGCCCTGACTTCTGAAGCCCTCCACACTCACCCTTCTGGGGGCGTGGGGGGCTTCAGAGGTCAGGCCCCACTCAGCCTGCTGCCGGCCTAGCAGAACAGAACGCCAGGCTGGCAGCGAGCTGAGCAGGCTGGTGGCGTAAGCTCAGCATTTTAATTTAATTTTAAATGAAGCTTCTTAAATATTTTGAAAACCTTGTTTACTTTACATACAGCAATAGTTTAGTTATATAATATATAGACTTATAGAGAGAGACCTTCTAAAAAACGTTAATGTATTACCAGCACGCGAAACCTTAAATTAAAGTAAATAAATGAAGACTTGGCACACCGCTTCTGAAAGGTTGCCTACCCCTGATCTAGACCATGCCTGACAGGTGTTTAACCTGTTCTTAAAAATCTCCAATTTATAGAAAGCTCTCTCTCTCTCTCTCTCTGACTTCATATAGACAGTGGGACAAACTGAGTAGTGATTTTTAAACAGTAGTGCAAATTGCTTGTGGTTGCAAATTGGTCAGTAAGCAAATATGAAAAACTTTAACTGTTGACTGATTAGAAAGAACTGTAGTAGGAAAAAAAAAGTATTAGGAAGAAAAATAAAGTGTGTGAATTAAGGTGCATTATTTTACACCTGCCTTATAGTTGATGTTCCTGCTTTGTTTGTTTCACATACAAAAGTACAATTTATGGTCTATGTTCACTCTTAATTTTTTACCTTTTCTAGTGTTTCATTATATAATGTTGCATTAACATCACTTTCACAGTTAAAGTAGCTTAATTCTGAAAGCTAAGTTTTGCAAATGCACTTGAACTTTGAATGACATTTTTCTTTAAGTTGATGTGCATACTTTAAAAGTAATAACCAAAGGTTGTTCATTTGACTTATTATAGTTCCATCAGGAAGTAGAGAAAAGTATTTTTATTTTAATATGTTTGGCTCAGGTTGAATAGTAGTTTGATAAGGGCATTTCTGTAAAACCTGGTAACTACCAGAACACTCCAGCAAATCTAATTATGTATCTTATACATTTTTCACTTTTAGCTTACAGTCCCCTCTAATTGCTGAGTATGATAAACATCTGGAGGAAATGAGTGAACAGCTACAGTACTATCAGGTATGAATCATACCACTGGAAAGGTTTGATTGTATTTATTAAAAGAAAAAAAACATGCAATTAAATGTAAATTTTTCATCTCTATATTCATTTAAAAAAACTAGGAAATAAAATTTTAAGTACCAATATTAAGAGGAACTAAGTCAATACAACACTTGAAAATGAAGTGTTTGCTTCAGTATTAAACACCAACATTCTTATAATCTAAAAATAAATTAGACCAGAAACTAGTTTATAGCTTTGTACATATTGTGCCCAAATTACAACCTTCTAGAATTACATTAATTTTAAGAGCACAGTGGCTGCCAGCAGTAGTAATATTTCAGTCCTTTAGTACTAATAGCTTATCGCACTGTTTTCCGGCAAAGGAAATTGTTTTGTACTACCTTTTGAAGTTTTATTAGGATACTCCCCTTTTTGAAGGGAGAGGTGGATCTTTTATGAAAAGAAATTGAATATGCCCAACCTGCCCAATATGTTGTCTACGATCTTGGAAATAGCATTGAGAGACTAAATATGCCCAACGACATATTCCTAATGTGGCAGCAGGGACGAGTGGCAAGAATCCTATTTTGTGAAATATTTAATATTAGCTTGTGTTCTTTAACTGAGTTCATTACCCAGGAACACCTAAACTCTTAAAAACCAAATTTAGTGATGACTTTGCTACCGCTGTGTGTAACTGTTCACTTGTAACACAATAAAATGTTTGTTTAACATTTATGCAAGATTTTTATTGCATTATAAAACTTCCTACCTCGATATAACGCTGTCCTCGGAAGCCAAAAAAATCTTACTGCGTTATAGGTGAAACCCTGTTATATTGAACTTGCTTTGATCCTCTGGAGTGCGCAGCCCCCGCCCCCCCCACCGAGCACTGCTTTACCGCATTATATCCAAATTGGGGTTATATCGAGGTAACGGTGTATATGATCTACCAGTTAATTCTCTTGCAAAAATAAAAATCACTTTACACAATTGTCCATCTTTAAACATAACTAGTCAGAAATAAACATTAAATTTTTGAAAGTTAAAGGAATGGTATTTCAGTGTGTGACTTTACTGCTTAAAGGCCCTGTGATTTAAATGTGAAATTTCACTGTCAAATTTTAATTTCTCAGACACAGATGGGTGAGATGAGACTAAAACTTCAAGAAGTCACCAAGGAAAATGAAAGGTAAATTAATTGATTGACTAATTTTTAGAAATGTAAAGTGTTTAACATGTTAAAGTATTTCTAGGGACCTGGAGATAAACCTCTGAATCTGTGTACTGTGGCCAAAATTTTCATACTTGCGCGTTTAAACTTAACCTCTTAGGTGCTGAAATGTGTTGAGGCACCCAGGTTTGGAAATTTGAGCTACGTATATACATAACAAACAAGGAATAATACAAATTTGATTGTTTAGAAGTCAGTGTATACATTTATTTTGTGTATTGTGCAAGGTGTGTATTTTCAACTGTGCATTTTTTTTAATATGTATATGTGATGTTCGTAATTAAGGAGAATGGACTCCAGACTTGCTTGTCTTTCTCTTGCTTCTTTTAATAGCAGGTTGTCTCTTCCTTGATTCTGCTTCCAATGTACGCTGGCTTCTGGGATTCTACATTTGTTCCTATCTTCACCTTTTGATACTAATTTTTACACTATTAATGTTCCCAAAAATACAGATTACAGGTGCAGTCTTGCAAATAAAACAGTGTAGTATTTGCTACCCATTAAAGTCAATGAACATACTCATGAAACTAAGAGCTATACAGAGCATTATGTACCTTAATTTTCACTGTTTATCCTCTTATTTTTGACTTTGTGCTCCAACACTAGGTTAATTCGGACCCACAGATCTGCTATCTGCTAGTACCTCTAACATCGCCCACATTCTTGTGGTGTCTCACCACGTGAATGAGGGGGAAATCTACCGTGGGCATAGATTCTGAGTCATGACCAGGTCCAGGTTGAACCTTCAGTCTCAGTGTATATGGTGCCTTCCCTGCCCCCAGCTCTGTTACCAAACCTATCTTTTGCTGCTGAGAGGTTGAAATAGAGCAGGAGTCAGCAACCTCTGGCATGTGGCTCGCCAGGGTAAGCACCCTGGCGGGCTGGGCCAGTTTGTTTACCTGCCGCGTCGGCAGATTCGGCCGATCGCGGCTCCCACAAGCCGTGGTTCGCCGTCCCAGGCCAAGTGGGGCTGCGGGCAAGGGATGTGCTGGCTGCGGCTTCCATCCCTTGCCCGCAGCCCCATTGGCCTGGGACGGC